CAGTTCCTTGAATGGCCACTTGAGGCTGGCGATAGAAGTGAGTCAATCTCCATAAGGCCCCATATTAAGATGTCTACAGAGTGATACAAGAAGAGGTTTTGGTCTGTATAGCTAATTTATCAACTGAACTGTGTAGGTAGCATTTTCAGTAACCAGGGTTCATTCAGCCCACCTCAGCCCCACCCATGCCAAGATGATGACGGCCAGAGACGACCACACTGAACTTCACGACAGTTCTCCAGAAACCTACGAGTGATGTCACAGATACTAGGGCCATTTTTAATTATACAGTAAAAAATAATTGATGATTTTACAAGAATTTATGTACTAGACAATTTCTTAGCAGGGAGCATTTTCATTTGCCAAGGAACTAAAGGAGACACAACAACGTTACTGGTCCTGGCTGAGAAATAAAAGCTGCCAATTGTTGCTTTCACACTTTTATTTATTTTTGTCCGGATTAAACAAACCAGATATAACGTGTTGACTAGTGAACTTTAGAGGTGTAACTATTCCTTTAAAGGCCTTGCACACCCTGGAATTATGTCATATCACAAAACTCTATTGACTAATAACAATGATAATAGGATAAGTTGTCCCGCCCTAACAGAGAGGAGAGTCAGCGAGATGTCAATCAATCCAGCTTCACGGCACACAGTCCTCAGAAATGGTCTAATCAGGCAACATAAGTGAAAACACCTACTGTATGTGGATGGTTTACGCAGGTGGGTTAATCTAATGTCAAAATTATTAGTTGTAGTAATTGAATAATAATGAATAACCTGAAGAGATTACAAATCTCAACTTTTTTCTGTTTGGAAACTGTGCAGGTCAAGACTGGTTATATTATCTTATTGTAGTGGGGATACATCTTATATTTAAGGTGAATTGTAAAAATGTCATGTTTTACATTTCTGGTATGTCAATGTCAGATTATAGATGTGAATAAAAAGTATAGTCTTTCAAATGATTTATTACTGTTATTGAGCTGTGGTTAGATTGAAATCTGAATGTGGCGCCATTAAACATCTGTGTCATACACACAAGCCAAAATATGTGTGTATCTGTGTGTGTGTGTGTGTGTGTGTGTGTGTATGTTTATGCAGAGGAGCAGAATAGACAAAAGAGGAGCAGAGCTGTTAAATTAATCTCTGGCAGGACAGTGTCACACTCTACGTGCCTTAGGGAGAGTTTGTGACTGTGCATGAGTGCTGCTCATTCACCACTGGATGTAGTAATGCCAGGACTGAGCTTTGTTCCACTCTCTCTCTGTTTTTGAGTAGTCATATGGGCAACTCAGTAATCCTCTGGATAGCCTAAAGCCAACCTGAGGCTGAAACAGCCCGAGTAACACACACCGACAGCC